TCCCTTCGGTCAGACGTGTTAACGAATACCTACCTTCCTTCCTTCCTTCCTTCCTTCCTTCCTTTCCTTCCCTTCCTTCCCTTCCTTCCTTCCTTTCCTTCCTTCCTTCCTTCCTTCCTTCCTTCCTTCCTTCCTCCCTCCTTCCTCCCTCCTCCCTCCCTCCCTCCCTCCCTCCCTCCTCCTCCCTCCCTCCCTCCCCTTCCCTCCCTCCCCACTTCACTCTGCCATCCTTCCCCACCTCCTTTCTTTCCCTCGTCTTTGCGTTTGTGTGTTTCCGATCGACAAAGCAAGGAGAGAAAAAGTGTTCCTGACAAACCTTCCAGTTTTAATGCGGTCGTTAAAGCGTCCTTTCGTTCTTTTATGAATATCTCCGTTCTGCATTCTTCGGATGGAAGCCTGCATTCTATGTGCACCAATAAATAGCAAGGAGCAAGGATCACACAATGAATATTATAGAACAGAATCCTTATCTGAGCACACAATGTTTTGCTTGCGGTCGCCATGTTGGTTTTCGCGGTTTTCAAAATGGTTCTCCTCTCCACATAATGGTGTCAACATGCATGCCATTGAATTGCACTAATTGAGAGGATGTCAAAATAGTTTCTTCAGTATAGATACCATATGTAGAATAGAAACTGCCCCTAGCATTTGTAGTTACGTGTTCAATCTCAAGCTGAAAGTTGGATAGGTGTCATTATTATTATCATGACATGGTAAAAGTAAGGGAGATTAAGGAGTAACTTGACCATTCTTGTGTACAATGATTAGAGGATTTCCCCCTTTGGAACCCCCTCAAGGTGCTGCCACATTAGCACTTTTTCCGTCAATTTTTTTGACAATTTTCTGAAATTTTGTCCATTTTTGAGCGAATTGTCGATTTCACAGTCAGACGATAATGATAGTTTCCGTCTGAAAACCTCCGTCAACTTTTTTTTAGCCAAGCATAGTCAAATCAAGAGCTATTTTCGAGAATGTTTGTATTTCTGTTAAATAAAATTGACGGAAAAAGTGCTAGTGTGACAGCACCTTTAGGATCCTGTTGGCAGAGCACCGTCATTCCACAGACAAGTCAACTTAGCTTCTTGTTGCAATTTTTCCTCGCGTTCTTTGCACTACCATGGTGTAGCTGACTCCTTCGGTCCTTCGATGCCCACGTGGCAGACAGCTGCAATTTTGTTTCTATGTTATGTCGATGCTGTTTATTGTCTTTCATCATGTAACGTTGAAACAAATATATTTGACCTATGTGTGTGTATATGTATGTATATATATATATATATATATATATATATATATATATATATATATATATATAATATATATATATATATATATATATATACATTTATATCCATATATATATATATATATATATATATATATATATATATGTATGTATATTATATATATATATAATATATATTATATATATATATATAATATATATATATATATATATATCATATATTGTATAGCCACAGTCCCAGAGAGTGACTTTATACCTTCAACCCTACAACACACTCACTATGAATAGTCGTAAACTTTTTAGATAAATAAAGTTTACAGGTTCAATATCGCATTTTCTTAAGTTACACATTTAATACATTTTCTTTAAAGAGATGCGGGTGCATTTTATGTTGTTGAATGTTATATTACTGGCTTGGTAATGTATTTATTGTTTATTGCTTTACGCCGTACAATGAACAAGAAAGTAACGCAGGGAACCTTACAATCACCAGACTTTGACCCTACGCACTCTAACTGTAATCTAATATTCATCTGTTTATAATAGTTTATGATCCAATATTAGTATTCGTATCCGTTTTCTCTATCATCAGATGTGTAGAGAACGGGGTCGTGTGGTACGATTTCTGGGTATTCTTGAAGACGAAGTTTTTTCATTTTCTATTATATCCGATCGCAGTAATCCTCTGAATTTGATATAATCCCATTTTCTTCACAAAAAATAATTTCACGCTGTACCTGAACAGAATCATTGATGCTGATATAGCATGTGAATTACAGTTCGTCAGATGTTTGTCAAACACAAGAAATCAGTAATTAAGAATAGTAGTTGTTTAATATAAAATGTACTTGTAGTTAAGGGTTTTATCTTGGGTATGCTGTTGATAGTGTTTCTCCTTTATTCACATCACCCTAAATTTTCTTTGTAAAACAGATAATCTTGTAACCCTTATTTCCTTAATCATGTCATTTTGATGCACGTTAGTAATAAACTGCTTAAGCATTATTGATATTATTATTCCTTGCTAGCAATGAGTACTGAGTGAATCTGTATCAATAAATCATACCACAATTTATACTTCCAATTACTATCATAATGATCATAATCTTCTGAATATGAATAATGGCACTTTATTTGTTTTCATACAACTCCTCAAAGACTTCTCGTAAGACAAAATTGTACTTCCTCTAGGTGGGGCTGGAACCGATAGATTCCTTTACTTTCATTATCACCAGACTTGCTCACTATTTAAGAAAAAAAAAATTGCTGTGGCCTGAGGCAAAGAGAAAATACTAAGATGTCAATAGCTTTTTATTACACCTTAATTTATGTACAGCTCATTAAATATATACATAAAATATTAAATAAATCTGATTTTCAATAATAAGTATATACACTTTATACACACAAAATCAACAAGGGACACTATCAACAATTTTCAGAATTCCTGCCACCCATAATATCGTACATTTACATCACCTGCGTTTCTTTCTAAAAGATGAACTAACTCATAGCTTTATTAGCTGCTACAGTTATGTATAACAAGCAAAGAAATAACTGAAGTAATAGCAGTTCTATATTGGTAAGGACTGCAATTGGACTCCTACTCTAATATTATTATTCATTTCTCACTGACAAAGATAGGGAGAGCTGGGTGCCAAACTATATGAGTACTTAATCTTTGACCACCCTTTGCAACTCTTGATCACAGCCATTACTAGTATTTATTTTAAAAGAAGGTAATAAACGTCACACAAAATGATCAAAATCTATCATCCAATGACAAAACGTTCAGCAGCACCTGAAGAGTTGCTGTTTTTCTTGGTCAACACTACAAGGTATAATCATAGTCACAGCATGATAAAGAGGACATGTGTGGAGAGGCTTTGTCATCAAAATCAACAATCACCTGGAAAGGACAACTGACTTAAGCAATCCTGAACACCCTTCTAAGACACTATGTTGGCTGTCTGAAGCGATATAACTATAGGCAAGGAAACAGAAGTTGTAGTGATAGGAATGTAGCATTCGGTTACTGTCAGAAGCACGGACATTACCCACCTGTTTGTAAGGTAGCAATGACAATTTTCTAGTGGAAATCAAATTACAAATGGAGACATATCTATTGCTCTATAGCTCTTGCATGTATACATTTCTCATTACACTGTTCTTTCTCTTCATCTGAGATATGTTTGCCCTTGAAATGATAAGCAAGGGTGCTGGCAAATACAGAAGCTGTCAAAAAAATATACATATATATTTATATACATAAACATAATTAAAGACAAATAATAAATAATTCCTCCTTGTATTTTTTTCTTTTTCCCCTACGAAAAAGCCAATTGTACAAAAAGAGCAATGAATATACAAGATTGTCATCTACTTGGCCTGTTGTAAAACTTCTCTCACTGTATGACCAGCATTTCCCTTGTAGTGAAAAATAATTTATAAAAAAAATATAAAATAATAAAACAATAATAAACACATGATCATAACCATCATTTTCATAACAGCATAAGCACAAAATATAAGTCACAGTATAACCCCCTGCATATCATCATGAACACATCATCGGTACAAAATTAAAACTCGAGACCTGGTTTTGACTACTGACAATAATAACAATAATAATAATAATATTATTATAATAATAAAAATGATAATAATAACAATAATAAAAATAGTACATTTCAACAAAAAAGAACAATAAAATGAAGTCAAATTAATCAATCAATTAAAAATTGAAATATATGAAAAAAAAATGCACAAAAAAACTAATTCAAGTAAAAAAAAGACAAAAATGAAAATAAACTCTCACTACTCTTTCAGTCCTGGTTAATCCCTAAGCAGCATAAGCATTTGACTCGGACACTAGAGGAAGGAAGGAACCGCCGAGATCTAGTTCCACAGGCCACAGCCGCTGAACGTATATCAACTCCTTATTCACAGAAAGGGCTTAACCTTTTCACAGCGGCAAACTTGCATCATTTGTGCTTCAAACTATTCACCCCGTGAAGAAGCTCTTGGCTGAGGGCACGGTCCCATAACACCATCTGGCGTCTTCGATCAGTCTTGAGGTCCCCAGCTAGTCATAACTGTCCTTATTCCTCTCTCCGGTCTGTCACTTTCAACACAACGACCCCTTCGGTTAGTGGTCGGCAAAATGAGGGCCGTTATCATATACTGAAGGTGTACTGCTGATACTACAGACAATCCAGTCCCTTCATCCTTGTAACAGAATAACGTGTGAATAGTGTGATATATAATCTTAGCTCTTATGAAATGAAAAAAAGAGATGAAAGAAAAAAAAATAATGATATGAAGAATGGCTATTGATATAAAAATCATCTCCTTTTTATATACAAAATTGAAAAAAAAAAAAAAAATTATACATGCATAAACATTTAATATATGTATGTGTATAAATATTATATATATATATATATATAATATATATATATATATATATATATATATATATATATATATAATTCATTCATATACATATTATATATACACATATAAACATATACACATATACATATACATATGCATACACATATACATCTATATATATACGTATATATATACATATACATATATACATACACATAGATATATACATATACATCTATATATACATACGTATATATATATATATACATATACATATATACATACACATACATATATACATATACATGTATATATACATATATACATACATAAACATATACATACATACATACATACATACATACATAGGAGTGCGTATATGAATGGGTATGTGCATATTTGTGAATCTGCATGTGAACACACACACGCACACACGCACGCACACACACACACACACCACACACACACACACACACACACACACACACACACACACACACACACACACACACACACACACACACACACAAAACAAAGTTAAACATATATAATGTCTAATTTTCCATGTCTACTCTAATATATCTTCTCCAGAGGCAGCATCAACTGTAAATAACTATCTGGCTCCTCGTCCTTGTGTGCAGAAGGAACTGACGTGAGATCGAAGGGCATCATGCTGTTGGCATCTCCTAGATTCGGTCGGTGCGTGAGGCCAAGCAGGAGTGCCATCTTGGCGGCCAATGGACCTTTCTCCACTAATTGTTCTTCATCTGGCATCATCTATAAGGAAAAAGAACAGGTAGTAATAACGTGTAATAATGACTTGTAATACGTACATATTGGTCTTTTCATAATAATCATAGTATCATCAATGGCATTTAATAGCTTAAAGATCAGTGATGTCAATAACAATTATATCAGAAATACCTTTGTTAATATCAACAGTGATTGACAATGCCGATGAAAATGATATCAGTAATAACAATAAAAGACAAAATGGGTGGTGGTGGTGCTGACGATGAGGAGGAGGAGGAGGAGGACGACGACAATGATGATGAAGATGACGACGGCAATGACAATGAAGGTTGCAATAGTGGTGGTGATAGTGATGATGGTGATGATGACGATGATGGTGAGTGTCGGTAGTGGTTACATTGGCAATAATGATTACGAAGATAACCTAACAAAAGTAGCAATAGCAATAGCAATATTACAGAATAATAATAATAATAAAAAAAAAAACATTAAATCAAAACAAAATTCGACATGACACTTACACTGTCAGCAACGTGTCTGTAAACGAGGCCATCTCCTCCTACGTAAAAAGTGGAAAAGCCATCGTACCAGTTTTCCATCTGATCAACAACACCCTTCCAGTTCCACAACTTGATCTTCCAAAACTGTATCATAGCCTGCAATAGAACATGATGCTGGGTTACTACAGTGTATGATATAAAGAGAACCAGTTGAGGGAGAGGGAGAGGGAGAGGGAGAGGGAGAGATGAGAGAGAGAGAGAGAGAGAGAGAGAGAGAGAGAGAGCGAGAGAGAGAGAGAGAGAGAGAGAGAGAGAGAGAGAGAGAGAGAGAGAGAGAGAGAGAGAGAGAGAGAGAGAGAGAGAGAGAGAGAGAGAGAGAGAGAGAGAGAGAGAGAGAGAGAGAGAGAGAGAGAGAGAGAGAGAGAGAAAGAATACATAATGGGCCCTGGCTAAATATGTTTTGCATTTATGCTTTGGGTATTTTTTCTCCATATAACATGAACAAAGTCACTTTTCCCCTCACCTTCAACCCAGAGAGGCCTTTTATTCTCCAACGCACTCTGACTGTTCCATCCTCGGGATGCTTTGTCATCTTCAGGATTTCAAACTTGACAAAAGCAAACTTCAGGTGGCCAATTGTTCGAAGAAGAGCAACTTGTTTCACATAGGCCATCAAACCTCTGTTAGGGATACATGTTCAAGTTTCAACAAATTTTGTTGAATACATAAATAATGTGTGTGTACCAATACCTTTGTTGTATATGAAAAACAATGGTCTGTATTCATTCAACTATGAGTAAAAGAATACTGGAGTATAAAGCATAAAAGGATAATATCTATTTATCATCCAAAAAAATAAAAACAACAGGCCCACCTACTCTGCAATAACATCTTGTATCACAAAGTTAGAATTTACAAAATGGAGAGGTGGCTTATATTTCAATAACTCCATACTGTGAAACAAATTTATTGACATTTAATCAATCTCTAAACACTATTTTGTCATTTAAGTTAAAAAAAAGTAACATGGTCACCACCTCCTCCAACACATTTCCTAACTTTACTTCTTTGTGCTGCTACTCTGTACACTTATAGAAGTATATTCAAGTGTATAATGGACAGGATAAAAGATAACTGGAGGAGGTCTGAGAGAATGACATGAATGTGTCTAAAACAAGATTGAAAAGCATGTGTGGTTATGAAGGACGCCTACACCTTTTACCTCTTGCCTCACTTCTGCCACAACCACTTACATATTCAAACAAATTCTTCCCATCCTCCTACACAAATCCTAAACAAAAACCACTTAACACCCTGACACATCTTTCCGTTGTCTACCCCAATCTAAGCCAACAATTTTTGAGCTTGGAGCAGCCTGACCCTGCAACCTTCCACATACTTCCCAGGTTGGGTCACATCAGGTTCACTGCCTTGTCCTCACTCACTCACCGACAGGCGCTGCTCACGACCCACTGCCAAGACCTGACTGGCTCACATGCACACCTCGTAGTTCTCAGATTGGACTGCAGGCTGACACAGCTTCCAACTACTTATGCTTCACAATCCAAATTGAGATCAGCATCTTTCGATCTTCCGGCCTGACCATGACATGCAGCAGCAACACAAGGACTGCACAGTCCTTCGCCAATGGGGAGCTTCTCCGGCTCCCCCGTAGACCTCCACTCCACCTACAGCACCCAGTCATACCAACGGGCACTCACACCCACTACAAACATTCCTCAAAGAGATAAGACACTAGAAAAGTGGTAGATGCAAATCATCTACTACAAACTAAGCACCTATTTATAGTAGTGTGAAAAAGGTGTACAACAACAACAGCTCTTACAAGGAAAAAGCTTATGTGATAGGGTATACAATATAACAATACCGGGGTAAAGAGATGTATTGTAGCTAACAAGAAAAACTCAAGATTCCTATAATTATATTCCTAATAGTTTTACCGCAAATGATTAATTTACTGAAAACGTAAACCATGAAATCTTACGTAGTGACGGTCCCTCTGATTCGGTTCTCAAAAACAATGTCTTGAGAATATATTTTGTAGTCCATTGGTTGAACAAACAATTTTGGCAACTGAAAGATAGAACAGAAGAAAATGAAGTATTCAAATAATTTACCTAATATGCTGTATAAGATGTTATATAACACTGTATCAATATAATTAAGAATTTATCATCTTTCCCTATAACTATGAACGCTTTAGTATCTTATTTTCGTTTTGGATACTAACCGTTTCAGCAAGAGTATCAAAAACATTTGTGAGCTGTTCCATGTTAGGCTTTCCTGAAGGGTCCATCTTTTCCGAGTCCGGCTGACTGGGACTCCTGTCAGAGCAGTAGACAGTATTTTCTTGAGTAATGTCACTAACAAATAGAGTATCTTCTCTTGCAGTTTCTTGGAGCGGCACAGGTGTTGGTGAAGTGTCCACAGCTTGTAAAGTGACTTCTTGATCTAAATATTGAATAGACGGAGATAGTTCCTCAAAAACTTTATCTTCTAACGGACTGTATTTCAAAGAGCAAACTACTTTATCGCCTTCTTGCTTGGATCCTAGAGGGTACCAGAGAGCATTTGGAGGGAGCTGGAACGTTCTCACGCTGGTGTTGTCATCACGGCAAACTACTGCTGTACATATATTCATCTGAAAAACATCAAACACCATTATAGATAAAACTACTATACATTACCGTTAACTAATGTTGCTAATCCTTGTCTTTAGTACCAAAGTATGCCCAGTACGTCTAATACTGCTGTCTTCGTATTTTGTCTCTAAAATAAAAACTAAATAACTTAAAATACATGAAATTATTTGCTTAAACAACAATTAGCATCTAATCATGCAATATATTTTCTTTCTCTATAACATTCTATACTGTTTTAATGTAATCTTCTTAGATATATGATACTCAAAACCATCAAAGAACTTAGTTACTGTTGTTCAAAACTAAATCTTGAATTTTAGGGATGTTCGTCTAGTTTTCGCTTGTCAATCATACCTCTTTCTTCTTGCAAAGGGAATGTAGGGAATGTGAAGTAATAATTCTCATAAAGCATGCCATATTTCATCTAGCCATACACTGCTTTGAATATTATTTATTTAATACAGTAATCTACTGAAGAGAGAGAGAGAGAGAGAAGAGAGAATAGAGAGAGAGAGGAGAGAGAGAGAGAAGTTGTGTTGTGTGTGTTGTGTGTGTTGTGTGTGTGTGTGTGTGTGGCTGTGCTTGTGTGTGTGCTTGTGTGAGATGTGCTGCTGTGTGCTTGTGTGTGCAGTGTTGTGTGTGTGTGCTGTGTGTGCTGTGTGTGTGTGTGTGTGTGTGCTTGAGCCTGTGGCACACCTTACCTGAATTTCATGCACACTTTGAGAAGCAGGACTGATGCCAACACCCAAGGGGTCAAAAGGGGAAATGTTCTCCGATTGCATTGCTGTATCGAAGGGCAAGGCCCACTGGTTCAGCCTGGGCGAGGAAGAAAGTTATATATATTACAAAAGAAAAAATCAATTCTTAAGAGCAGGGTCAGCATGGCATCCTGAAAATAAATAAGTGAAATCTAAAAAGAAGTCCAAGCTCATAAATTCTGATGTTTACTGGTAGTACAGCAATTCAAAAGATACCTCGGTTAGTTACAAATGGACACACAAAAACTGGGAATTTAAATGCAGTAGACCATTTCCTCCTCCTAGGTTTACATTCTTTCAAAAGTTTGTGAATGAAAATGAATACAGATAAAAAAAAGTACTTCTGTCCTCTTTGCTTACAAAATATTACAATTATACATATTCTTTAACAATCAAATCATTTAACGGAAGAAAGCTTTCAACTAAACAAAAATCCCATTGCCAAATTATCTATCAAGAGAGTCTAACTGTTTTGATATTTCCATAATTAGCATTTATTGCTGTACGAGGTATTGCCTTTATTCTAAATTACTGTCATTGCTGGTATCTTCATTTCTACTTATATCAACAGTTTTACACCGAAATATTCTTTGAGGACGGACAAATGCATTCTGATACAGCAAAATGCTGACATACAATTCAAACAAAAAAGTAAATTTATTCAATATCATAGAGACTCATGTTACTTTTTTCAGTATTCTGTAACAACCAACTTTTGTAGCACTGTATATTAAATAAAAATACACAAGAATTCTGCACATTTGTGAATGAACATATTTGCGTGAGAGCACAATTTTCAACTATAAATGTATTCAATTAACCCATTAACGTCAGTATATTTTGAAGCCGAAAATAAAAGATTCAGGTTGCCACAAAATCGGCAGGCGGGGCTGCCCCAGACTCTGCCCGCACGCTGGCCACGGCCCATTGCTGCGTCGGAGCACGAGCCCCAATACAGTGTCACACAGGCGGGACGCCCGGCAATGTTCGTTTTTTCGGGTGTCTCATATATGGGACACCCGTTGCTAGTGGGTTAACACAATCATTTTCCACTTAACTTTTGAGATATCAATAAACAATAAAACAAAATAAAATATCCACATAAATTTAACAGCAAGAGACTAATAAATCATCTAAGTATCAATACACTTGAATATTCCATTTCTCATCTATCAAAATCTCTCTGCAAGACAAAACTTAATCACAAGGTTATTGCATTCATACGCTATCTACATCGCTGCATCATCACAGAGTCATATATACACACGTTACTTTATTCTTACACACCTGTAATTTATGTAACCAATCAGATACTTCCAACATCGTAATTGGTGATTCGCCAAGAGCTAACTCTGGGGCCGAGAATGCCCCTTCTTCCAAGTGCTGCTGCTGCTGGATCAGATTCCATGATTTGCTGCTCTGGTGGAGAGGTGTGCAAGGCGCACTTTGCACACTTTCCTGCAACACAAGAGATTTTTTTTTTCTTACTTCATCCTCTGGTAATATCGACTACATTAAAGTTGAGGGTGAACATCTCTTTAGTGATATTTCTTTAACTGAAAGGAATAATCTGAAACTTATCCTCGGGTATCATAAGAATTCATGAACTGCAAAGATAATATTTGCTAAAAAAAAATAATAATAAAAAAATAATAATAATAATAATAATAATAATAATAATAATAACAATAATAATAATAATAATATCAAGATAAACATTGATGCATAAATGTGGCTAAAATCATGCATAAGCAAGATCTCCACCTTACAAAACTCAAAATTGTCGTTCCTCTATTCTACAAGAGGGACAGGTGTCCAAAATGCTCAGCAAGTTCGTTCAACATCCTACATGACAGCAAAACAGAGCCATGTATTAATCAGTTTTTTCACCCTAAAAATTACATATTTCTTATCAAATCAACTAATCTTACTTGGAGAATTGGTAACTAATTTTATTAATGGTATATGGCACAAGTAACAGACAACTCACTAAAATAAATCATAAAATTTATAACAGATCTCTCATTATTATGGAATATTTTAAGCATAAACTTGCTCAAGGTTTAAACAATTTCTATAGTTTTATCTTTAGCATATTGTATGTGAAAACATATTTTTGTATAATGAGCAGCTGACTAATAAAACAATAAAAAAAAGTAAATAATCTAGGTTGGAAAATAAAAAATATATCATTCCCTTATTAGTATTAGTGACATTGTAAGTATCATAATAATCAAATTATGACCAAATTTAGTAACACTAACATTCAAATAATAATGGACTCCTTTGTGACTGTGTTTCTGAAACCATCTGAGTGAATAAAAGAGTGGGCTGCGTGTTTGCCATTGGTTTATGATATAAATGAAACCACATTTTTTGTTTGAAATTTGTTCTAAGCAACAATTCCAATACCATGTCTTGCCCACAATAACTGATCTCTGTACTACCTTTGGCACTCTAGCAAAAGCCAACAAAGCTTTAGTTACACATTCTGGGTCTTCCAGCCGGGCATCACCATTTACGTCCGGTTTCTTTATTGGTTGGCTAGGAAAACATGACAATCATATGGGGGGGGGGGGGGGTAAAGAAGGTTTTTTTATTCAAACGGCTATCTTTATAGTAGTTTATTTGTTTAGGCTGGGGTTCATTCACACAATGCTGCGTCAAATCTTCTGAGGCCGATTCTTGGCTTGGGTTTTTCCTTATTGCATTTTCACTATTCTATGAAATGCGACTCATGGCCCGGGTTTTTCATTTTTGCACTTTTTTACTTTTTAAATTACTTTCAAATAACCTTAAAATTAATTTGTGGGACATTTGGCTCGTCTTTACGAGTAATGTATTTTCTTTACAGTTGTCAAATCAAAAGCTTGTGTGGGGGGCCTATGTGTGCACCCCCACCCCCAAAAAAACAATTCCCTACATGTCCCCCAAAATCATAGGGAATAGGGGGAACAATAAAGTAGAAAACAAATATTCCATCTCCTCTACAATTTCCCCGCTCTATCTCGCCATGCTTACTGAGTTGAAGACAAGATTACCTCCAGGGTGTTAGGGAGCAGAACCCCCATCAACCCTCCCCTCAAGCAGTACCCAGAGGTCCATACTGTAAAGAATTACCCTATTTTTTGCCTTTAGCAGTTGACTCAGTGTGCACCCCGACGCATGGTACAGGGGCCTCCGATCATGAGAGGTTTAAATAATTATTCCACAGTTGGCCATTTGGGAAAATCGGATACAAAGGACTTATGTGTTAACTCTGTAATTCTAGAAATGAGAAAATAAGGCTAGGATGGGATTTTAAGCCTTCTTTTGACAGGATGTAAATCTTAACCCAATGTCGACGGGGAAATGGTGCGTTCCCTTTGGCAATGCTTGGTTAAATGTTTTAGCACATAGATGGCTCTGCCAATGCTTAGCCACAAAGGAGTCAATTAGTATATCTTGCAACTTCACTTCTCCTTGAGAAAGTAGGAAATTTTTTTTTTTACTAATGCTATCAATATTGACAATTATTTTTGTCCCCCAAAATTGAAGGGGGTAGGAGAAAAAAAACATACATAGGTGCGGCTGTCTTACTTAGAATTACCAAAATTGATAAAGAGAAACTATACATAAACACTGATAAGCAGATAAGCTTTACCTTGCCAGAATGTACAAGGTGGATATTTGCTGAACGAGCAAAGATCCGCAGCCTCTGATAAGCCGCTATCTTGACTTTTCTCCGTCACAACACCGTCCTTTTCAAAACATTTACCAACAAACTTTCTTTGATTACGTAAGATTTGATTAAAATTTTCTACCAAAGTGTGCATGAATATACATAGATCAGAAGATTCTTTGCTACAAAGAGATAAAAGACATTAAAACCCAAGGACGGTAATTAATAATCAATTCCTCTGCTTGTCCATCTATCAACGGTGGTAATTAATAAGAAATAAACAACTGTTCCTACACCAATAGAGGAAATAATCAGAAAATACCCATGCGGCGAATTTCCAAAGGTGCAAAACCACCCACACAAAAAGTAAAATAAAAGATTAAAAAGAAGCCAAACCTCTCAAACTACTCCCTACAATCCCCTCCTCCCCAAATCACGTGCAAAATGACCTTAAAACGCCCCTAACACCCTGCTTTCAGCCCGGCCAGCGTGTCGACCTCCCCGCCTGACCTGCACTCGGTACCCTCCAGCGGCCGCCCGGGTCAGCAGTCGCCCTCCTTCGGCGCTTCCTCGGACAGAATTCCCGCTCCCAGGCACTCTCGGGGGCAGTCCATACCTCAGGGACCTCAGGCAAGCGGCCATGGTGTCAGGACAGAGAGAAAGGAAGCTTAAAAATACTTAGAATTTAAGACATGGACGTGGTCTGCCTTCTGGCTTCTGCTCGGGCCCTATGTCGTCATTGCGTGTTCCAATAATGTGCGAGCGAAAGCAGACGATGCTGGGAGGGAGCCAGAGGATTTACGTCTCTGAGCTATTTCTTAATCAAGTTTTACTTTTTTATCATAGAAATCTACTTTATGATATTACATTTTATTATCGATTACGTATATCTAGGATTGTTTGGGTGATCGTGTTGGATAATCTTTTTTAAAAGAGGTAAGATGTATCGGTAAGGGATTAAGAAGGATACCGGCAAATTTCGAAGAAACTTTCTAGAAAATGTTTTATTACCTAATACCCACATGTTTCAGGATATACTCACTAAAATCAAAGAAACCCGCTTTCATTTACCAGACAGCCTGAAAAGGAGCCCAGTTTGAGAACATAAGCATGTGTATCTGTATTGTTTATTGCGCAATTTCAATATTTGCAGTAATTCGCACTATCTTTGGAGGAAATGTTGACCATGTTGAGCACGGTTGCATAAATGGCAGCTAATATTATAGGGATAATGGAATGATGCTTCATTTTTAAGGTAAACATGTACACACACACACACGCACGCACACACACACACACACACACACACACACACACACACACACACACACACACACACACACACACACACACACACACACACACACAC